TTTTCATATTCTGATTTGATCGTGACGATTTTGTGTGAAACTAATCAGATCATGTTCTTTAGCATCTGATCTATCTAGTTTATGTTACAAGTCACCCGAAAATTCAAAGAACTTTTCGAAAACGTAGAGAGGAAGAATTAGGGTTTCTGAAAGTCCCATCGTTGTATCATGTTCTGTATCGAATTTGATCAGTTTTAAAACTAGCTTGTGTACTCTTCGAGCTCTTTTACTGGTCTTTTGCTTGACATCTGAACAGGTACAATGGAGGAATCGGCTCATGAGAAAGAAGATCCTGCAAACCCAAGTGGATCCGCAAACAAACTTATGATGGACGCTATGATGACTCAAATGATGTCTCTTATGCGGTGGGAGTTTAAAAGCATGAGATCTGACATGGAAAAGATGGTTTCGGATAAATAAAGAAAGACCAGTGACCATTCAGCTTCGGAGCAATATTACAGCAACTCCTCTAGGGCTCGATCATCAAAGAGAAGAGGAAGCGATAGAGAAGAAAGAAAGCCAAGGTCTAGTGATCCTATGGGCAGTCTCAAGCTTCACAATTCCTGAATTTAGAGGCACGGCTGATCCTGAAGAGTACTTGGAGTGGGAGAAGAAGATTGAACTTATCTTCAACTGCAGAGACTACGCCACCGAGCACAAGCTGAAGCTGGCCCCAAAAGATTATGCTCTAAGCTGGTGGGATAATCTAGTTACAACAAGAAGAATGATAGGAGAAGATCCCATCGAATCATGGAACCAATTGAAGTCGATCATGAGAAGAAGATTTGTACCAAGTCATTACCACAGAGAGCTACATTTCAAACTCAGAAGTTTAACCCAAGGAAGCCAGTCTGTCGAAGAATACTACAAGGAGATGGAAACTCTTATGATGAGGGCTTTTATTCGTGAAGACAGGAAAGCAACGATGGCTAGGTTCATGGGGGGATTAAACAGAGAAATTATAGATCGTTTAGAGGTGCATCACTATATGGAGCTAGAGGAACTGTTGCACAAGGTTATTATGTTCGAGAAACAGCTCAAGAGAAGAAACTATAAACTTAGCTACGGATCCAACAAGCCGAGTTATCAGAAGGATGAGAAAACGAGCTATCAAAAAGAGTTTAAGCCATTCTCCAAGTCTAAAAGTGAAGAACAGAGCGTCAAGGGGAAAGAAGTGGTGACTACCTCCAAGAATAGGGATATTCAGTGTTACAAGTGTAAGGGGTATGGTCACTATGCGAGTAGCTGTTCCAACAAGAAGATAATGATCATTAAGGACATTGGCGAAGTGGAAACTGAAGAAGAACCATCTGATGATGAGGAACAAATATAGATGCCTGCTCGAGGAGAACTGTTGGTAACTAGGAGAACTCTGAATGTCCAAACCAAGACCGAGGGAGATGAGCAGAGGGAAAATCTATTTCATAGCCGATGTATAGTTCAAGACAAGGTGTGCAGCTTAGTAATAGATGGTGGAAGCTGTACTAACGTGGCTAGTGAGTCTATGGTGGAAAAACTAGGCTTGAAACTGATGAAAAGGCCAAGACCTTACAAGCTACAATGGTTGAATGAGGCAGGAGAAATGGAGGTCAAAAACCAAGTTGTGGTGCCAATATCGATAGGCAAATATAAGGATGAGATTCTGTGTGATGTCTTGCCTATGGATGCGGGGCATATTTTACTTGGAAGGCCATGGCAATCAGATCGAAAGGTTATACACGATGGCTTCACCAACCGTTATTCATTTGACTATCACGGCAAGAAAACTACTTTGGTCCCCTTAACTCTTCAAGAAGTTCAGCAAGATTAGATCGCTATGAAGAAGAGTAAAGTGCAAACTATTTCTACAATCTCTCCATCTACAAGCCTCATGATCAATAAACCAAAGGGAAGTCAACTTCCAAACTGTTTACTAGTTTTTAAAGAATGTTTTAACTTAAACGCGCCTACGCAGGATATTCCTAGCAAGATAATATTACTTTTACAGGAATTTAAGGATGTGTTTCCAGAGGAGAATCCACAAGGCTTGCCACCAATACGCGATATTGAGCATCAGATTGATTTCATACCAGGAGCTTCACTGCCGAACAAACCAGCCTATAGGACTAACCCTTTGGAGACCAAAGAGCTTCAAAAACTAGTCACTGAGCTCATGGACAAGGGACACATTCGTGAGAGCATGAGTCCATGTGCAGTACCGGTTCTACTTGTTCCAAAGAAAGACGGCAGCTGGAGAATGTGTGTAGACTGCCGAGCCATCAATAATATCACGGTGAAGTATCGACACCCTATACCTAGATTAGATGACATGCTTGACGAATTACATGGTTCTAGCATCTTTTCTAAGGTAGATCTTAAGAGTGGATATCACCTGATTAGAATGAATGAGGGTGATTGTTGGAGGTGAAAACCGCACCCCCGGTTTTCTCCGGTACAAACCAAGATCGGCACGAATTAAGTCCGAGTTACGAAAGAATTGTACCGGGAGAATTGGGCCGGGCGAGTTCTTGGGCCAAACATAGCCCGATAAACCAAAGTCAGTTGAACCTTCTCAAGGGAATCGAGAAGTTCTCCGAGTTCGGAAGAAAAAGGAAAACTTCCGAATAGAAAAAGGAAATTTCCGAGAAGAAAGTAAATTTTTGAGAAGAAAAGAAATTGTTGAGGGAAAAGGAAAATGACCGAAGGAAAAGGAAAGTCTTCTCAGTCCCATATCGCAGAGAAGACCCGTGAAGACCGACTTAGAAGGCATATATAAAAGAAGAGGAATCGACACCAGAAGACACAAAAAATCTCCGAGAGATTTAGAGACTGAGAACTCAATACTTTAGCTTCTTAGTTTCTTAAGTCTTAGTTCGTTTATTGTCTACATAACCGAACTCAGTTGTATTTTCGACCCGATCTAATAAAATCCGAGTTTTCCAATCTAAATTACTGTTTTGTCCCTTGTTTGATATTCACATATCAACAATTGGCGCGCTAGGTAGGGGCTTAACAGAAAATTCAGTTTTAGATCGGATTTCGGAAAGATCGATTTAGCAATGACGGACCCTGTCAACGTCCACGATGAAGAAAACCCTCTCGGCCAGGGAAATGGGGACAACCGAGCCCCCGCAGAGCAAACAGGAGGAACCCCTGGGAAGACCGTTGGAACCGAGACCGGGCAGACTCCCCCAGCCATAGGAGCCCTTGGAACCGAATGGCTGCTCCAGGTGTTCAAAGCGCAGTTCGAAGCTATTCACAAAAGGAGCGAAGAACGCTTCAGTCAAATGGCGGCACAGATCGCCGAGCTCAGTCAAACCCGAACTCCCCTGAAGTTCGTAACACAGAGATCCAACTGGAACCATGCGATCTACTGCTATCGGATCGGCAAACGCTCCAACACCGCCAGATCTGAGTCGTGACGCCAAGCTGAAGCAATAAAGGCACAACTCCGCCAGATCACTTCGAAAATTCATCAGGCAACGAGCGCCGTACCGGAGATCGATCGCGTCATTTAGAAAACACAGAAAACACCCTTTACACCGCGCATAGCCGGAACGCCTGTCAGGCACTTGGAGAAACTCAAGATCAAGATCTACGAGGGCAATACCGACCCCTGATACTTTTTGACCTCGTTCGAGATCTGCATGAACCGATACCAGTTCAGGTCAGCCGAAGAGAAGGATGCGGTCCAGTGCAACCTATTTGTCGAAAGTTTGGGAGGAATAGCTCTCGACTGGTTCTTGCGACTCGGGGCAAACTCAATAAACAATTATAAGGAGCTAACAACGGCTTTTTTCAAGCACTTCTCCATGTTCATCGGACAGAACACCAAGAACTCTGAACTATGGCAGATAGCTCAAGGAGCAAACGATGGCCTTCGCGACTTCATCCACCGCTTCAAAACGATTGTCGCTAACTGCACGATCAGCGATGAAGCCGCCCTCTTATTTCTACAGAAGGGAGCTCGGATAAAAAAGAGATTCCGCAGTGCAATCAAACACAACCCTCCGCAGATCTTGGAAGATGCATTACACCGAGCTAACACTTACATCGCGGAAGAAGAAGAGGAGGCAGCTCACGAATAGAGCTATTCCACAAAGCAGCCTGAATGACCAAAGGTCGACGCTTATGAGCCGCAATCAGGTTATGGAAGAGGGTACGAGAATCGCAAAAAATTCTACGCCAACGCCATCTAACAACCAGCCAAGCAATGAAACAATAAATGGATCCGTAGTGAGAAAGACCAAGACGAGTCGCTATTCTGCGAATTCCATAATCGCAAAGGACATAGCACCGAAGATTGCAGACATCTGCGGGAGTACCTGCTCGCAGAGTACCGGAAAGAACAAATCTCGCTCGACGACCTCCATCGTTCGACCGCTCAAAGAAACAAGTCGCCCCGACCTAACAACACACCGCCCGAGAATACCGTCGCAAAGGATCAACCGGCTTTACCACCGCCTCCACCGAATCCACCCGCCCAGCCCGAGCTACCGAAACGCAACCGCGATGACACCGCACCAGAGAATCATACCCCCAAAGCTAGGAAACGCGTCAACATGATAATGGGACCTATCGAAGCCTGCAGATATTCAGTTCAGCCCATCAAGGAGTACAGCAGACAGGCCGCAACCGCACCTAAACTCCTGCATGATCCGCCGAAAAGAACCCCTTTGATATTGACCGAAGCCGATACAATTGGATTGCACAAACCACACAATGATGCTCTCGTCGTCGAACTACTTCTCGATGACGTCGAAGTTAGTCGTATCCTCATCGATACCGGCAGCTCGGTCAACATAATCTTCAAAGACGCACTTGACCAGCTCAACATACCATCGGATAAGATCGAACCCTTTATCGAACCTCTCATAGGATTCAACGGCAAACGCTGCATGACAGTCAGCACGGTCAAAATACTGATCTACCTTGCCGGAGTTGCGAAGATCATCTAGTTCCTCATCCTTGACAAACCGGAAATCTACAACGCTATTCTCGGTACACCCTGGCTACATGCAATGAAAGCAGTTGCCTCCACATATCACCAGTGCCTTAAATTTCCAACTCCAGACGGCATCTACACTCTCCGAGGTAACCAAGCCATCGCTCGATCATGCTACATCAACGAGTGCAAGCTTCGCTCAGCGAATCAAGCTTGCGTCATCAGCTCGCAAGGCCCGACTGCCGACCTCGTTGTCCAAAAAACAAAACCTAAGCAAGAGTCGATTACTCAAGTCTGCATCGACGAACTAAGGCCAGAACGCCAGGTCGGCATCGGCGCCGAACTCGATCCAAAGATCCGTGACACCCTCGTTCACTTCCTGAAGCAACACTCATCTACCTTTGCATGGTCGGTCGAGGACATGCCCGGGATCGATCCACAAATCGCTCGTCACAAACTCAACATCGACCCGACATACACACCGATCAAACAGAAGCGCCGAAAACTCGGACCAGAGAAGGCACAAGCCGTCAATGATGAGGTCGAACGACTACTAAAAGCAGGCTCAATCACCGAAGTCAAATACTCCGACTGGTTGACAAATCCTGTGGTCGTTAAAAAGAAGAACGGCAAATGGAGAATTTGTGTCGACTTCACCGACCTCAATAAAGCGTGTCCCAAAGACAGCTTTCTTTTGCCTCACATCGATTGCCTCGTCGAAGCAACCGCAGGGAACGAACTCCTCTTCTTCATGGACGCATTCTTCGGATACAACCAGATTCTCATGCATCCTCAAGACCGGAAAAAACATCGTTTATCACGGATCGCGGCATATATTCCTACAAGGTTATGCCCTTCGGTTTGAAGAATGCAGGAAGCCAGCTCGGGCAAACAATGGAAGTCTACATTGACGATATGCTCGTCAAGTCACTTATCGCTTCCGATCATGTCGGCCATCTCCGCACTTGCTTCGCTATTCTCAATCAATATGGCATGAAACTTAACCCCACCAAGTGCACCTTCGGTGTAACGTCCGGCGAATTCCTCTAGTACATAGTCACTCAGCGTGGCACCGAAGTTAATCCAAAGCAGATCGCAGCTATACTCGAACTCCCATCCCCAACTACTAAACGTGAAGTCCAACGGCTAACCGGACGCATTGCGGCATTCAACCAGTTTATATCCCGATCAACGGACAAGTGTCTGTCGTTCTACCAACTTTTCTGCGGTAATAAGCACTTAGAATGGAACGAAAAGTGCGAGGAAGCTTTTACCGAACTCAAGAAATAGTTATCTACACCGCCAGTTCTGTTAAAAACCCAAAACCGGCAAGACGCTCTACCTCTATATCGCGATCTCAGAATATGCGGTCAGCAGTGTACTCGTGCGAGAAGATCGAGACGAGCAGAAGCCAATATTTTACACCAGTAAGTCCCTTGATGGATCGGAGTACCGCAATCCAACCTTGGAGAAATTCGCCTTTGCAGTGGTTATCTCAGCACGAAAGTTACGCCCGTACTTTCAGTCGCACTCCATCGTTGTCTTAACCGACCATCATCTGCGCACCTTCCTTCACAGCCCAAGTCAATCTGGCCGACTCGCCAAATGGGCCATCGAACTCAGCGAATACGATATCGAATACCGAGGAAGGACCACGACAAAATCCCAGGTCTTAGCGGACTTTTTGGTCGAACTGCCACCTGAGCTCATCGACGCTAATCCGACCATACAACCCCGGATCCTCCACGCCGATGGCTCCTCGTCCCATAAAGGATCTGGTGTCGGCATTCGTTTCAAGTCCCCCGAGGGCGAGATCGTTGAACAGTCATTTCATCTCGGCTTCTCGAATATGAAGCACTTATCGCCGGATTACGCCTCTCCAAAGGAATCGGCGCCGAACACATCCACGCTTACTGTGACTCTCAACTTGTAGCTAACTAGTTTTTTGGAGAATACGAAGCCAAGAGATATCGCATGGATGCATACCTTAAAGTTCTCAAAGATCTTGCTTTAGAATTCTCGACCTTCGAGCTTACGCAGATACCGCGGGACGAAAACACTTCCGCTGATGCTCTGGCTGCCCTCGCGACAAACTCTGATCCCGACCTCCGACGAACAATTCCAGTTGCGGCAATCGAACGACCTAGTATCGAACCCGCCTCTTTCTGCAATATTATCACGAGAAGTCCATCCCAACCTCGCACCACCCCTCACCTGCAAGAAAAAGACTAAGGACGTTGTCACCGATCTCTATGTCGATATGAATGAACAAAGTGACAATGAGTCCAATCAAGACGATGAATCCGAAGGCCAAAACGTCTCAATCGACATCGAAGCTGAAGACGACGACGAGCCCGAGGATTGGCCTTTGGAAATCGTTGGTTACATTGGCGATGGAATGGTTCCTAAGGACAAATGGACAGCTCGGCGGCTAAAGGCTCGAGCAGCTCAATACATGGTCATCTAAGGCACTCTCCTTAGATGGGATGCGTCTGACGCACTTTTGACTTGCGTTCACGGCAAAAACATCATGGAAGTTATGCATAAAGTGCACGAAGGAGAAGGAGGGAATCACTCCGGAGCTCGTTCTTTAGCATTCAAGATAAAAAAGCCGGCTATTACTGGCCCACTATGCTCTCAGACTGCAAAAACTACCCCGCACGATGCGAAAAGTGCCAACGTCACGGTCTGATGATCAATCTTCCTACCGACCTCCTGATGACCTCGACCGCACCATATCCCTTCATACGCTGGGCAGTGGATATCATCGGTCCGTTTCGCAGATCTACAACACAGAAACAATACGTTCTTGTCGTCACCAATTATTTCACCAAATGAGTCGAAGCCGAGGCGTACCCCGCGATACACGGCATCGACGTCAAAAAGTTTGTCTGGAAATTCATCATCTGCCGGCACGGTGTCCTATACAAGATCGTCACAGACAACGGTACTCAGTTCACCTCGATAATTTTCACCGACTTATGCGCCAAGTAGAAAATCCGCTTAAGTTTCTCCACACCAAGGTACCAGCAAGGAAACGGGCAAACCGAAGCCACAAACAAAACCATTATCGATGGTCTAAAAAAGCGGCTTGATACGGCTAAGGGAACGTGGGCGGACGAACTCGACAGAGTCTTATGGTCTCACCAAACTACGCTGCGACGTTCAACCGGTTAATCACCTTTCTTTCTCGCGTATGGTTAGGAAGCTATGTGTCCGGCCGAACTCAACGTTCCTAGTATTTGTCGAACTATGCTCACTCAGCAGCCCAACGTGAACAAAGACATGATGCTCGACACAATTGACTTAGTCGAAGAACACCGTGAACGAGCATTACTCAGGATACAAAACTACCAACAACTGGCAGCTCGTTACTACAACAAAAAGGTTAAAGGCCGTCACTTCGAAGATGGCGATCTCGTACTTTGCAAAGTTTACCAGAACCGAAGAAAAGAACGCTGGTAAATTCAGTGCAAACTGGGAAGGACCATATCAAGTCATGAAAGTCGTTAAACCTGGCGTTCATCAGCTAATGAAACTCGACGGAACCCCGATCCCGAGATCCTGGAATTCAATGCATCTTAAACGATACTACTACTAAGTTTGTTATCCGAAAGAAAAAAACAAACCTCCGAACTACTTAGTTCGGAGAGAATATCCTTTGTACTTAGAACTATGAATGGCTTGATCCCTGTAAAGGGTACGTAGGCAGTTCGTTACCGAGTCCAGCTATAATATCAATAAAATTTTATTAAGTGAAAACATCTAAGTTGTAGTTCGGTACTCACGAGATGCCAAACTTCTACTTTACCAACATCGACTTCCTGGCCAGTTGTTCGATAGCATTCCACATGAGTGCAAACTTAAAAAGCCAAGATTTGTCTCGCTAACACCCACATGGTGCCGTGGTAAAGTCCACATTATAAAGGCGGGGCCAGTCCCGCATTAAAAATTCTAAGTCACCAAGAACAATAAGCCGAGTCCATCTCGCATACTTAGGTTAGACTTAGAAAACCTTGAGCTCGTATCGTGCATTTACAAGAGTTCGATCAAACTCACTCTTCCAGTACGATACGACTCACTTGGGTTCCCCAGGCCGAGCTCAGATGCTTGCACCCTAAGCCGAACTCCTCAGATTCGCACCATAAGCCAAGTTCTCAACACTTGCACATATAAGCCGAGTTAACGCAACTCGCTACCGAAAAATGAAATTAAATTCGAACTAAACTCATTAAAAACCGATCTATTACTTAGCAAATTTTTTCAAAAGAACTACGAAGATATTCAAAACAGAATAATGAAGCAGATAATCAAAACATTCCGAAAAGCAAATAAATTTGACATATAAAAACCCACCAAGGGTTCGAAAATAAACAAAAGATTATAAAAGCATATAAAATAACCCATTCAAGGCCAATTGAGTTCGATTCAAAGGGAAAAAGAAACAAAAGACTAAACAGTCTTAGAAGCAGCGGTCTGAACCGCGTTAAGTATCTCTTCGTTCGAGCCGAACTGCTCACCCCGCGCCTGATCTTGCTCTCCTCCAATCAAGTTATCGGCTGGAGCCTCCTCGCCATCTTCCGGAAGAGGAGACATTCGCTTATCTTCCTCCGTCAGGACGCATCCATCAACCGAACAAAATTCCTGCAGTGCTGCAGCGTGCTTCGCTTTGATCTCGGCCACCATCTCGGGGGGAACCTCATAAAAACCTCTGTTCTTCAGCTTTTTGATAAAGCCGAGGAACTCCGGTAAGTTGATTTATCACCAAATAAGGCTTACGAGCCCGATCGGCGTCATCCAAACTTCGAATGACCTTTTCCAAGCGTTCGCAAGCCTTAGCATGGACGCTCCTTGCCCGATCTCTCCAGCGAGCTACCAAACCTTGTAGCCGTTCCTTTTCCCGCTTGAACTCCCGAGACAGTAAGGTTTGCGCCTCCGTCAATTCGGCTTTGACTGCCTTGAGTTCCGCGCTCTCCTGCTTCAACAGATTAACAGCGTTGTGAAGCTCTTCATTTATTCGGAGCTTGGTAGCAAGGCGATCTTCAGCCTTAGAAATCTGATCCTCCAGCTCCACAACTCTCACCTGCTCGTCATACAGAGCGACCTCATATGTCGCGACCAAAGTATTGGTCTGACTAGCAAGCTGCAAATAAAAATAAAAATCAGAACTAATACTTAGGAAACAAATAAAACATAAAAGGGGATGGAATCAGGAAATTACCACGGCAGTTGTATGCGCGATCCCTTTGTATAAGTTCGGGAACCGGAGTTCGGATACCTTTGGAAGACTCGGGACCTCGCTGGAAATCTTATGATAAAGGTCGGCTCAGGGATCGACATTCTCCTCAAAGGGGACTTCTTCGTCATAGTCAAAACAGACCTTCGCCATGTTAGCCGGTTCTGGTTCAGGAAAGTTCTCAGCATGGTCTCTTTCTTGCCTATTTCGTGAGTTGGAGACTTCGGGCTGATCCTGAGGAATCGCGAGATCCGATGTCACATGAATCAGAGGATTGAGCTCGGTGGTAGCATCTTGGGCCCAAGAAGAACCATCGATCCTCTTGATTTTCTTTGAGGATTTTTTCTTCTTCATTTTTTTCTATCCGGCCTGATCAGGAGAGTTCGCGGCCGGTGGCAGGTCGTCGGGCTGTTCTTCAATCCCTTCAGTAGTAGGGACGGGGTCTGGAACCACATCGTTCGGCTCCTCCTCATCGAACAAGCTAGGGATCTCGATAAGTGAGAGCATCTTGGAAGTTCGAGTTCGTTTAGCTCGTGCCTTTGGTGCCTTCCGTTTCGGAGCAGGGCGAGGCTTTTTAGCTCGGCTCTTTGGCTTCAAGGAGGTTGACCGAAAAAAGGTCTTCGAATAGTCGGCTGGTTGGATCTTCACTGAGTTCGGCGCACAGAGTTTGGAAGCCTGCGTAGTTCGTCACCGATGCCGGCATCATTTGAGTGAGAGCTACGCCACGCCGGTTGCAATACCTGAGAAGACGAGAAGGGATCGGAAAAGTGAGCCCGCATTGCGTGAAGTAAGTTAAATAAATACAGAGGAAACCTTCAGGAACGTCCCATGGGCGATCTCCAGCATTAGGAGTAATGAAAACGGCTCCCTCCGTAAGTCTGTTGGCCTCGAGTACAGTCCGAATTGTCATTGGAGAACGGGAAGAAGCAGGTACATTATGAGGTCAGACGAATTTTTGTTTCGGCATTGGTGGTGAGGCATGATTCACCGCCTCAGGGTTGTCCTCGACTGCGTCCACTTCGGAATCGTTCCCGTCAGGAGTTTCTCTCTCGGATTCGACGACTTCCTCGATCTCATGGTTTTCATCATCAACATCCGGCCCGACTCGAGCTCCGGTCTCACGAATTTCAGCTGTTAGCTGGTCAGGAGCATCTATTCTCGGTTGAGGACGGATGCTACCGGCGCCAACCGATCTAGAATTCTTACGAACTAAATTTGGTGGATTGCTCGTCGTCTGAGAAGAGCTTGATGAGGAGGAGCTCGGCTCCGAAGGTTCGCGGCGATCCTCCGGGAGAATTTGATTAGAAGAAGAGTTCACCGAAGAGTCGGAAGACATTTTAGTTCGGAAGAACGAGTTCAGAGGAAGATTTGAAAGGGAATTAAAGAAAACGAAGAACAGAATGAAGATTGATCTGAAAGTTTGAAGATGGATCGGAGGAATTTGAAGATTGATCGGAAATTTTGAAGGTTAGCCGGAAAATTCAAAGATGACGGCAGAAAAAGCAGAGAGAACTAAGGAGAGCTACGGATTAACATCTAGAGAGAGAAACAAAATTATAGAGAAGGGAGAGCGGCGTACCTTATATATTTTGAGGCGAGAATAATGAATGCGAGGTAGGTTTACTCCTTTATAAGTAAACAGTGGGAATCGTGGTTCCTCGATTTCCACGAAATCCTGGAATTTGCGCGCCACATTAAATCGAGTTACGAAACGCCTGGGAAAACGAATCGACCAAAATTTCCGAGCTCGGTTTGCGACCTTATTTTTGAGATTTGGCTCGAATGAGTTCGACTAAAAGCCACTCTCTTTCATCGAATTGAGGGGGGGGGCTAACTGTTGGAGGTGAAAACCGCACCCCCGGTTTTCTCCGGTACAAACTGAGATCGAAATGAATTAAGCCCGGTTTACGAAGAAATTGGACCGGGAGAATTGGGCCGGGCGAGTTCTTGGGCCAAACATAGCCCGATAAACGAAAGTCGGTTGAAACTTCTCAAGGGAATCGAGAAGTTCTCCGAGTTTGGAAGAAAAAGGAAAACTTCCGAATAGAAAAAGGAAATTTCCGAGAAGAAAGGAAATTCCCGAGAAGAAAATAAATTGTTGAGGGAAAAGGAAAATGACCGAATGAAAAGGAAAGTCTTCTCGGTCCCATATCGCAGAGAAGACCAACTTAGAAGGCATATATAAAGGAAGGGGAATCGACACTAGAAAACACAAGAAATCCCCGAGAGACTTAGAGACTGAGAACTCAGTACTTTAGCTTCTTAGTTTCCTAAGTCTTAGTTTGTTTATCGTCTACATAACCGAACTCAGTTGTATTTTCGACCCGATCTAATAAAATCCGAGTTTTCCGATCTAAATTATTGTTTTGTCCCTTGTTTGATATTCACATATCAACAATGATGAATGGAAAACTGCTTTTAAGACTAAGCATGACTTATACGAATGGTTAGTAATGCCATTTGGATTAACTAATGCACCTAGCACGTTTATGAGACTAATGAATCATGTTCTTAGAGCTTATATAGGTCATTTTGTTGTGGTATACTTTGATGACATTTTGATTTACAGCAAAAGCTTAGATGAACATGTGGAGCATCTTAGAAAGGTTTTAGAAGTGCTTAGAAGGAAGCCTTGTATGCGAATTTAAAAAAATGCACTTTTGGAACATATAACCTTGTCTTTTTAGGTTTTGTTGTTAGTGCAGATGGAATCAAGGTTGATGAGGAAAAGATAAAGGCGATTAAAGACTAGCCAAGTCCAAAGTCTGTTAATGAAGTAAGAAGCTTTCATGGACTCGCGGGTTTCTATCGAAGATTTGTCAAAGACTTTAGCACTTTAGCAGCTCCCCTCACTGAGGTTATCAAGAAAAACGTGGGATTCAAATGGGAAAAAGAACAAGAAGAAGCATTTCAAGCCTTAAAGGATAAGCTTACTCATTCCCTGGTGCTTTCTCTCCCTGATTTTAATAAAAATTTTGAGATAGAATGTGATGCCTCAGGAATTGGTATTGGTGCTGTTCTTATGCAGGAGAAGAGACCCATTGCATTCTTTAGTGAGAAACTTGGAGGAGCTACACTGAATTATCCTACATATGACAAAGAACTTTATGCGCTTGTGAGAGCTCTCCAAACGTGGCAACACTATCTCTGGCCTAAAGAATTCGTCATTCACACTGACCATGAGTCTCTCAAGTACCTTAAAGGCCAACAGAAGCTGAAAAAGACATGCTAAGTGGGTCGAGTTCATCGAAACCTTCCCATACGTCATCAAGTACAAGAAAGGTAAAGAGAATGTGGTGGCTGATGCATTGTCTCGCAGGTATGTTCTCTTGAACTCTTTAGAGACTAAACTACTCGGTTTTGAACATATTAAGAGTCTATATCCTACTGATGCTGATTTTAAAGACATATATGCTTCGTGTGAGAAGTTTGGTAGTGGGAAATACTATAGAGCTAATGATTTCCTATTCTTTGAAAATCGTTTATGTGTGCCTAACTCTTCTATTCGAGATCTTTTTGTCAAAGAAGCTCACGCAGGTGGACTAATGGGTCACTTTGGCATTGCCAAAGCCTTTAGCACAGTCCAAGAACACTTTTATTGGCCACATATGAAGAAAGACATCGAGAGGGCATGTGAACGATGTGTTACTTGCAATCAAGCTAAGGCTAAGAAACAACCCTACGGTTTGTACAGTCCTTTGCCTATTCCCTTGCATCTGTGGCATGATATTTCTATGGACTTTGTAGTTGGACTGCCAAGGACCAAGACAGGTAAGGATTCTATCTTTGTGGTGGTAGATAGGTTCTCAAAAATGGCTCATTTTATCCCATGTAATAAAACCGATGATGCTATGAACGTTGCTAACTTGTTCTTTAGAGATATCGTAAGATTGCATGGCATGCCAAGAACTATAGTTTCTGATAGAGATACTAAGTTCCTTAGTTTCTTTTGGAAAACTCTATGGTCTAAGTTAGGAACTAAACTGATTTTCTCTACCACATGTCACCCGCAATCAGATGGTTAAACTGAAGTGGTTAATAGAACTTTGTCTACCTTGTTGCGTACATTGATTAAAAAGAACCTTAAAAATTAGGAAGAATGTTTACCACATGTAGAATTCGCTTATAATCATGCTAACCATTCTGCATCTCAGTTTTCCCCATTTGAAATTGTTTACGGGTTCAATCCCACTTCACCTTTGGATCTAATGCCTTTACCTTTGAGTGAAAGAGTTAGCTTGGATGGAAAAAAAATGCAGAGCTAGTGAAAAAGATCCATGAGAAAGCGCGCATTAACATTGATAACAAGACTAAGTACTATGCCAAACATGCTAACAAGAACATAAAGGAAATGGTTTTTGAAGAAGGAGACATGGTGTGGATTTACTTAAGGAAAGACAGATTTCCAAATGAAAGAAAGTCTAAGCTTATACCGCGAATCGATGGACCCTTCAAAATCATCAAGAAGATCAATGACAATGCCTACCAGCTGGATCTCCAAGGTAAATATTCTGTGAGTTCAAACTTCAATGTTTCTGACTTAGTTCCTTTTCTTGCAGAAGATACAGATTTGAGGACAAATCCTTTTTAAGTGGGAGAGGATGATATGATCAATACCAGCTTAGGAACCGAGGAGATTAATGGAGAACAAGGAGAGCCTGAACCAAAATCTGATGAAGACCAAGAGCAGCTGAAACCCGAGGAAGCCGAGGAAGCAAGTATAGGAGAAGATAAAGACTTGCATCTTCCGATTGGGCCAATGACAAGATCAAGGACAACGAAGTTCAAGCAAGCTTTTCACAAGCTATTACACACCATTCAGAGTAATCTTAAGTGTGCTAATCCAACTACACTGGTTGTGATACAAGCCACTTAAGAGTTCATGAGAGGTGTTGTGACTTGTGCTCTTTTTCCCTTCGTTTGGTTTTGTCCCAATTGGGTTTTCCAAACAAGGTTTTTAATGAGCCTTGTTCACAACACTAATACAAAAGGCCTCTTGATGGAAACTTAGCCATTTCGTCTACCAGACTCGATCAAGGAAAAGAGGAGCCTGTTTTCAAATTCAAACTAGTGTAAGTCTTAGTCGTTGAGTCTTTAAGTCGTCTTAGCTGTCTTTGTTATTTCCTAAGTGTTTCAAGACCCTATATGTATGACTCTTTGTCCTTCTTTTCAATCTATCAAAGCCTTTTCTAATAATCTCTTTCTCTGAAATCGTTTGATCATTGTTTGTTAACTGTATTCGGATCTTTATCCTTGCCTTACAAACTAACCAATTCTGTTGATAGTTTAAGAGATCTTCCATCTCTCTTAGAAGTATCAATGCGTTTACCACCAATTCTATCATCGATCTCAACCCTAAACTTACTTGTTTCAATCCGCAAATTCTATATTTCACAATTTCATATTCATTCCCTTCATTCCGCAATTCATTAAGTCGCTTGTCTACGAGATTACAACCGTTGGAGAGTAGTCCAGGGTTTGATCCTCACCTAAGATCATATCACTACCGAATGCCTAGGTCAACTCTAGATGTTCACACCGATTATATATTTGTTTTTTTTTTTTCTAAATCCATCTGAGTTACCACAGATTACACGAGAGTAACGCTTCCTGTTTAAGCTCCGTTATTGATGAAGCCTAGACAAGACATAATAATGTTTGCACTTTGTACAATGGATGTACCAGCACCGTCGATTGGGAAATGGTGGGTCAAAGATCGTATGGAGATGGTGTACAAATTATTCTTAATTTTTTTTTTATCTATTAAAAATCCTAGCCGGAAGAAAAAATAATAATAATAATAAGAATGCTTGAGACATTTCGATCCTGAAGCAGAAATTCTGGAATTCGTCCATCAGTGAACTCTCCCCTTAACATGGGTAATCTTCCCTACTATTTTTTTTCGGTTTATAATTGAAGTGAATCAAGAATGATAAAAAAAAAAATTAAAAAAGTCCTTGATTTTTGTTGATTGAAATTTCTTTTGGGTTATTCGTGTTAAATTGCTTGAAAGCTATGGACTTTATGGTTGTTGTTGGTGACAGATGTAGAGGAATTGATGCTGATAAAGGAAGAAGATGAAGGAAGTAGTCAAGTTCGTCCTCAACTCATGAAGCTAAAACGAAGCCAATGGTGGCTTTTTGTCTTCATTAGCATCTTCTTCCTCATCTCTGCTCAAGCCGTTGCTGTTCTTCTCGGTCGGTTTTATTACAACGAAGGCGGAAACAGTAAATGGATCTCAACTCTTGTCCAAACGGTTGGCTTTCCGATTCTGTATCTCCCTCTTTGTCTCCTTCCTGCGTCACACTCATCTTCTTCTTCTTGTTGCTTCAAGACTCTGTTTTGGATCTATCTTTCTCTTGGTCTCGCCATTGGTTTGGACAATCTATTATACTCTTACGGTCTTTTACTCCTCTCTGCTTCCGCTTATTCGCTAATTTGCGTCACACAGTTAGTTTTCAATGCTATCTTCTCTTGTTTCATCAACTCTCAAAAAATCAGTTTGTTGATTGGAATCTCAGTGAGCCTCCTTACTATCTCTGCTGGAATGATTGCTCTTGACGATGATTCGGAAAGTCCATCAGGAGGCTCAAAGTGGAGTTACCTAATTGGGGTTTGGCTTACGCTTCTTGCTTCTCTCATCTATTCTCTTCAGCTCTCACTTATGCAATATTCTTTCGAGGAGATTATCAAGAAAGAGACATTTGGTATGGTTATCGAAATGCAAATCTACACGTCTCTTGTGGCCTCTATAGTCTCAGTTATCGGGCTTTTCGCAAGCGGGGAATGGAAGATGTTGACAACAGAGATGGAAGAGTTTCACAAGGGTCAAGTCATGTATGTTTTGACTTTGGTCGGAACAGCAATTTCATGGCAATTGGGTTCTGTAGGAGCCGTGGCGCTCATATTTCTGGTGTCTTCGCTGTTTTCGAACCTGATCGGTACGCTCTCTCTGGTTGTTACGCCTCTTGCAGCTATTTTGGTGTTCCACGACAAGCTGACTGAAGGTAAGATTGTTGCAATGCTCATGGCGTTCCTGGGAGTCGCTTTGTATATGTACCAGAACTATCTTGATGACTTGAAAGTACAAAGCTCACGAGAAACTCAGGCTCATTGATTCTTCATGGTGTTCTATCAACTTGAAAGTACAAAGCTCACAAGAAACTCAGGCTGATTGATTCTTCTTGGTGTTCTATCAGCCATGATTGATACAGCAAGACCGCACATCTTCAGTTCAGTATTGATATATGTTGTGTAGTTGTACTATCTTCTCAATTGTTGTGATCAAATCTATCAAATCTGAAGTAGTGATTCGACTAATTATGCAGAGAACAGTAGTCTAATCTGAATATCAATATGTAATCAACGTTACAAGTCCGCATTACTTTGGTAACCTAGCCATGCTTGAAAAGAGAAACTCTAAAATAACTAACTATATTATGCAGAAAAAATTGTTGGAATTCGTTTTTGATCAAATGGTTTAGAAAATTTTCCTATGAGTTTCTCGGCGAACACGTTTGTCAAATGTTTTTCCCACCGGTTTGAGAAATGAAGTCTAATCTAAACAAGCGGCAGCAGCCAGCAGGTTATAGTGTTCACAACGACTATATCACCGTGTGCTAAAAATCCGGTCATTCTGACAACATCTTACCCGAAAAACTCACTATATAATGAATGGCGCAGATGCGACTATTGTTGTGAGATTGAGCTAAGGCTGGGAGTTCTGGTTAACCGAACTGAACCGATCGGTTTTTCAGTTTATTCAATTAGTTCGGCTTTTAAAATTCTATCCAATAAATTACGGTTCTGTTCGGGTTTCAGTTAGTTCTTGTAATTTATATTTTATTGAAACTAATCACAAATTTGTTTCTTCTGTTAGAATCTATACTATATAAAAGGAATTATTTGGGGCTCCTCAGCCTATCCACATCAGATTTTAAAACTTTGATGAGAAAATGCCATGTCAGCACTGCAATTCCCGTTAAAAAAACTTTTAATAAAAACCTCACCACACTACACCCAATAAAAGTATAAATTAACAGGCTAAAAAAAAACTCAGGCTAAAAACCCTAAGCCCAAACCACAAAATTAAATCTTAATTTTTGTAGGCCTTCAAACTTAACAAGACCCAATTGTTTAAAACCCAACAGGAGAAGATAATGAAAAAATCGACCTCTCATCTTCTTCCTTCACTTCTTCTTCGCGTCAGACATCATCCTCTTCTTCAGTCAGTTCTTTTTGGCATCTTAATCGATATAACTCCCCCTCACACCCTAAAAAACCGAAGACCTCCACTTTCTCATCTTAATTCCTCACTCAATTGCTCTAATTGATTGATATTAATGGCTAACCCCACAATTCCTCTCCCAGAATCCTATAAAGAACAGTTTCCTACAAATCTCACCACCCACAAACACGTTTGCAATCACTCCAACGAATTTGATCATGGCATCTCAATCTATCCGTCTCTCTGCCCAGCAAAAGAGTTTCCACCTTCTCAACAAAATTGAAGGAGATTTCTGCAACCATGAAATCATTGCTCGGTTGGTTCAGAGGCCAGAAATTTCAAAAAAGGAAACATACTCATGGGTCTTCAACTCCTGCTCATCGACTCCGAGGTATGTGAACAACCCATTTTTAAGTCAGATATGTTACACCAAAACCTATACGGCTATACCTAATCAAATCTATACAGTCAAACACAGTTCAAGGCTTCATCCCAGCAAACCGTATGTTCCGCTACGAAGACAACCTCCAGGCGAACTCAGTTTACAGGTTGAACAAGTTCATGGTGACCGATTGCAAAGCCCTTTACAAAGTCTCTGACCACCGGAAAAGCATTCTTTTCATCGACCAGACAACCATGACTGAGTTGGTTGAGGAAAACCATCAAATAGATCACCAGAAATTCCGAATCAGGTCTGTCAATGATTTCGCAGCAATCGTCGACACCGACACTGATCTATTTGGTATATTTCTATTCTACACAGATCTCCCTAGACACAACTATACTATAATAATATTAATGACTACCACTATGATCTATGAATGCTTTTCTGGTTCTCGTGTTGATCTAATCGTGGGTCCTCATTTTGTGGATCATGACGTGCGTATGGCTTTCTCCATCAAACTCTTTTGCTGTAATCTTATTCCTTCTTATGCCATGTTTCTTTCACGCTCAAAGGTCATTTATACTTCCAGCACTTCGTTCTTATGCATCTCAACTATTATTGCTCACCACAAATCTCTATACTGTAGATGTCATTGGACAGCTTCGCCTCATCAGTGGTGACAATCTCCGATCTCCTACCACATTGGAAACAGCTCCCCAAGTGATTGGCACCAGAGCAAAAGACAGACTTTTCCTGCACTTGCTTATGAAAGAGTAACACATACTCCCTTAAATCTTTACAGAAACTGTGCAATTCTAATTATATGTAGTTTCCCATTGACCAGTTTGGCTGTGATTTCTCAACCAGCGGTGAGACCATTCGCATTTATTTGTGGGACAAAATTGCGGCCCAATTCCGGGAGCGATGGAACAGCAACCAGAACCAACCAACTGTCCTCCTCCTCACCACTGTCAACCCCAGAACAATAGGCGGTGCTGTAACTTTGAGCTCCACAACATCTACACGCCTGTTCTTCGACACAGACCTTCCTGAAACTGAAGCATTCATGACATGGTACATATTCATCACTTAACACACTAATATTCATGATATTTACCCATATAAATGACGTGGTCCCCTAATAACCATGACACAGGTTAGGTGAAGGTAGAGAAAACTTGCCAACTGTCACCAGCTCCAGCTCTGCTATTACCAAACTGGAAACAGTCACTCTCAAAGAAATCAACACGTTCATCCAGAATGAAATCCCACAGGTAATTTGGACTGCTCTTCGTCCAATGTTACCACAATCAAAATTTATAAGCAAAAACTTACAAACCCTCTGGATCTTACTTCTTCACATACAGATCGCCAGTTTCTATTGCTTTGCAACACCTACTGAGGTACTTGAGCAATATGGGTGGTACTACATCTCCTGCCGCTGCAAAACAAAACTAGGGAAGACTGAAACATCATTATACTGTCCAAATTGCAAAAAAACCAACAATGTTGGTATAATCAGGTTTGGCACTATAGCTCATAAAATATGCATACAATGATATCCCACTCAGGTATAGATTGTAGCCTATTTAGAAAATATTTTTCCCACTCAGGTACCGTTTTGAGATTTCAGTCAGAGATGAAAACAATGACGTCGCAACGTTTGTCATCTTTGACGACGATGGCAAAAAGATTGCAGGAAGAAATGCAACATATTTTCTAAATGATTCCAATGAGGTATAGATTTTTAAATATTACTTCCGTCTTTTTACATAATACACTAACAACGTATTGAACGTCCTATGAAGGAGAACGCAAGAATGCCTGATTGCCTTAAAAGTATCATTGGCGGAACTTACAAGTTCGAGATCAAGCTCACAAAATTCAACTTCACTGCTACTCGCCAAACTTTCTCGGTGTCCCGTATGATCGATGGAAACATCAACAGCCAGACCACAACAGGAATCGAGAACATCAATGTGCAAAATGCTGAAGGGGATACTGACCCAGCCATCGGAATGCCAAGTACAAACACACACTCAAAAGCCTCGGAGACAACAGAGTACAGTGAAAAAAGGAAAGAGAAGCGTCCCCGTTTGGAAAACTAATAGCAACTCTCTCATCTTTCTTCCCAATTTAGTTTTATATCGTCCGTCGTAACAATAATTAAGCTTTTCTAATTTACTTCCCATTTTATATGTAGGCCGTCTTTCGTCCATTGTTTATTCTCTTCTAAACTGTTTAGCCTGAAATAAAAATGTTTCTTCCCTTTAGTTTGAATCCAGCTCAGCTTATCTAGCAAACCGATCTATCAAACCGCAATCCCAAAGAATTATTTCCTACAAAACTTAATGCTACACAAACCAAAAAACACAGCAAACCAATTATAGAAAACCGTTAGGAAATCTATATTGTTATTACTAAAAAGTACGCCTAAAAACCCACAAAACGTTACGAAATCTATATTATTATTAAAAAATACGCCTAAAACACCATAACCAATCACAAACCCCATGACATTTAAATGTAACTTCAGTAAGATCAATCTATATTCCCTATATTACGTAATTATAGGGAACATTAAACTCAACAAATCAATCTATATACTAAAGGCCACAAATAAGGAGCCTATAAATAATTGTAAAGGGCATTATCACCACAGAAACGTCTACCCTAAAAAAAAAGACAAAACTCTTACTAAAAACATAGCCGAAACCTCGAAGAAGATTACTTCTTCACAAAAAACCAACTGCGCCGACATCTGAACAGGTAAATTTCACACACACTTCTTTTTAATTTAATTTCTCGCAGATCATCAATTGGTCACCTTTACAAAACAAAGAAACACGTAGAACTTCTCTCATTCAACTAACATCATAGATAAAACCCAGTATGCACACAAGGAAATACTCATTTCGTCTAACAATATATCTTCTTCCTCCCAACATTTTCAGGTTTCGGATAAACAGAACCATGTTCAAAAACTGGTTAGAGATGAATACATATTGTAAACAAGCAAAAAAAAATCAATACGTGGAATCCCATGCTTACTTTGTGTGGGATAAAGCGACCAAGATGTGGCACAAAAGAGAAAGAAAAGTGGACGACTCTGCCAGAAAACCAAAATCCAATAACGCTAAAGAAGACTGATCCGGATCGACTCATCACAAATAAGATCAAGGCAACAATACGAAGATATTTTACTGAACTTTCTGATGTTGAATCAATTTCTATTTAATAGACAACCATGTTCTAGACGATGGAAAAATAAAATTTATACCTCCACTTAAATAAGGTTTTGCTTCTTAATAAAATTAATAAAAACAAACCACCATAATGGTATAGCTATTGCGGTGCTTTGTACACGTACAAACTTATAACACCAAACTGACTTTATAAACAGAATCTTCAATAATAGTATTATTTATTTACGACATCCCCAATTGCATTCTTATTTTGGTCAAACAAACTACAATTGCTAAGAAGAACAAAAAATAAACGCAGACCAAAAAACCAGAAAAAAATAAAAAATTATAACATCTAAACAAGTAAAAGAAATTGTAAAAAGGAAAAAAAAACCCAAAAATATAACATTCCTCAACTTTAGGTAAGAAAATCGACGTAATTAAATTAATAATATTCTTCTCAAACTTCTCTTCAATCAAGCAAGAACTACCGTTTAAATTTTTAAATAGCATTAATGCATCCCATATATATTATGCATATTGCTAAATGAATCAAATCACGGGATCATTCACAAAATAAATTCCTATTAATAATTAGAGCAAATTACGCGTAACTTATATTCAAAATACACATATACATACACTTCACACTCCATACTACATGTACCATAACAGAGTAAAACGCAAAACATACACAAAACATAACAATTTCTTCCAAAAAAAAAGGGTTCCCACCGACATAACGACACACCACACCAGCGAAGACTTTGCCCACAATTCAGAAGGTAATTTTGTCAAATTGTCTGTTTCATTTCGGCTTGATATTTGTATTGTTTTAGTATTCAGAGAAACGTAACAAAATTTCCAAAAATGAAAGATCTGTGACCACAGATATACAGCAACTACTCACATCTTTCTCCTATGCATGATACAGGGAATCAATCTTACAATGGTCGAAGAAGCTAAACAGTCTGATTCCATACACGGGGAACAACTAAAACAAAGGAAGAGAAAACGTGGACAACCAGCCTCTACAAGCAACTTTGGTGAATCCCAAGGAATACAACAAAACACCACCAACATATATTATCATTGTAAGTTTGTTAGAAGCTTTACGAAGCACCCAAAATATTTTCATAAAAGAAGATAACTAATAATGAAAAACTATTTTGACTAGGTGGCTGTACCAAATGCTCGACATACAGTAAGTCAAACCTTTCTTTTTTTTTTGGGTCGAAACTCAAATCTATTTACAATTACATATTACAAAAGGAAAATTTTAATCAATTACTTATGTCTTATGCAGTACATCAAAAAAATTTGCGCTCTATACGAAAAGCCATAATGTTGTCAAAGCGCTGGAAATCACGGGCATTACCCACACAAAATCAGATCTCAAATTCAAGTTCAACAACTCAATTTCAACCTTTAAAGCCAAACGAGAATACACTTACTAAAAAAAAGGCAGGCAGAAGAAGAGGTATATTTGTATCTTATCAATCTAAAACAATTACATTTTCGGTGCAAAAATATGAAACAAGATAAGCTTATGACGACGCAAATGAGACAAACAAGTCATGATTTTCAGTTTCATTTATCCCCACCTATAACGTATAAAATTAAAACTGCAAATCAAAACAAATTGGTATAGACATAATTCAAATCACATCATTACGTAACAACATTAATTCAAATCAACAATGCATATGTATAGTAATTAAAATATTTACACACATTTCAAATTTATTTAAAATGAAATTCAATGAATTCGAAAACAAACCAAGTAATTCTCACCAAACAAATTCTTCATGCAGGTCTCTCAAAAGAAACAATTAAGAAGTCAAATCAGCCCACCAAAAGATATTACGATTGTAAGTTAAATATAGATATGTTGTTATAATTTAAAACCACATACTGCATGGTTTTACATTATACTAAATCCTCTACCTTCACTTTTGTAAACAAAACAGGTGGGTGTGAGATATGTTCTGAATACGGTAATATCCTCTTTCATTTCTCTACCATCTACCTCTGTTATGTGGTTTAAAATTGCGATACAAATTCATATTTAATTATTCATTGCAGTGAGGCGGAAAAATGCACGAACTATGAGACGTGCTATCATCTTATCCAAACGATCATCCAAAAGACAAAAAGGTTAGGCCGTATAATTTGATAGTAATAATAAAAAGCCAAAAAACATTATAAAAATATAAGATATATTTATATTAATACAGTTGATGCTTCAACAAGTACACAACAACTATCCAGACGAGAAAAAAAGGAGCTTCAAGGTACGTTTAACAAACTATTTTAAAAAAAAATATATATATATATATGTTAATTTTATAAATTTTTATTATTTACACCAGATTCAATGGAAAAAGAAAATGCAATCCTACAATGCCCTCATTGCAAGGCATTGGTATGGTATTCAGAGAAAACAGGAACTGATAGAACTGGAGGACCTATATTCACAATATGTTGCCAACAAGGTCGTGTCAAGCTATCGCCAGTTAGAAAACCTCCTGCTTATCTAGACGACCTACTTGACAAGAGTTTAGCATTTCGTATATTAATACGAATCTACAATTACATCCTTGCATTCACATCTATTGGCGCAAAAATAGATTACACTGTCACATCTGGACAAGGACCACCTGGATTTCGGATACATGGTCAAAATTACCATCGTATTGGATCTTTGCTTCCCATGCCTGGTGAGCCACCGAAATATCTACAGATGTATATCTTTGATACGGAGCACGAGATCTCTAATCGAATAAGGAGTATCTCGCGTGGAAAATCAACTAGGGAATTGGAAGAAGAAATTGTTGAAGGGTTGGTTAAGATGTTGGATGAACACAATTGCTTGTGTAAATTCTTTCGTAAAGCTAGAGATCGCTACAAAGCAAATGAAGTACAAGACTTAACAATCAGGTTAGTTGGACAGAAAAACAAAGGAAAGCAATATGATCTACCAGAGGTACAAGAACTAGCAGGGGTGATTGTAGGTGATCCAACAGCTACTATTGGATACAGAGACATTGTTCTGCAGTTGCAGTCAAACCACTTACAAGAAATAAATGATACCCACCCTTTGTTCATGAGTTTGCAATATCCATTGTTGTTTCCCTATGGTGAATATGGATACCACACAGAGATACCACATGAATTGACACAAGATGGCGAGAGGAAAAGGACATTTCTTAGTATACGGGAGTTCTACGCGTACCAAATCCAAACAAGACTTACTGAAGGGATGACAATTATAAAGGGTGGGCGTTCACCAGTATGTGGTTGATGCATACACATGCATTGAGCAAGAAAGACTTCGATGGGCAAAAAACAATCAAGACCAATTAAGGGCAGATCTATACAACAACGTCTTCGACGCTGTTGGTAAAGGTGATACAGACGGAAGAAAACTCGGCAAAAGAATTATTTTGCCATCAAGTTTTACTGGAGGACCAAGGTACATGGTTGAAAAATATCATGATGCAATGGCAATATGCCGAAAATATGGAAATCCAACTTTGTTCATAACAATGACTGCAAACCCAAACTGGAAAGAGATAAAAGATCACCTTGCTACCTATGGTGGGACATCAGGAAATGAAAGACCGGATATTGAAAGCCGTGTTTTTAAAATGAAGCTTGACCAAATTGCAAAAAACATTTAGAGGAAGGCAAATTCTTCAGCCCATATATTGCAGGTACGTTACTACTCTTATTATATCCCAAAAATGTTTCCACATATAATTACAAATAATTAATATACTGCTTCCAAATTTTTATTTAGTTGTCCACACAATTGAGTTCCAAAAGCGCGGACTGCCCCACGCACATATGCTTTTATGGCTAGATCAAGCATCTAAAATCCCAACTCCTGCTGAAATCGACGCGATCATCTCAGCCGAACTACCCAACAAAACGGAAGACCCACTTGGTTTTGAACTGGTGGAAAAACACATGATGCATGGACCATGTGGGCGAGACAGACCATCATCACCATGCATGGATAAAAATGTTTGCACCAAAAGATACCCACGTCCATACAATGAGTGCACAATAATAGATAAATCAGGATATATTGCCTACCGTCGCCGTCAAAACGAGGACAACACTGTCATCAAAGGAAAAACAAGGTTAGATAATCGATTTGTTATCCCTCACAATCTTGATATCTTGAAAAAGTATCAAGCACACATCAACGTTGAATGGTGCAACACATCGAATGCCATCAAGTATCTCTTCAAATATATTACGAAAGGAGTGGATAAAGCAACAGTTTTGATCGAAAATGGCACAACCGATCCAAAGAACAATGAGGAGAGCAAAAAGGTGGCAAAAGAGAGGAATGAAATTCAAGAGTATCTAGACTGCCGATATTTAGCTGCATGTGAAGCTATGTGGCGTACATTTGGATACCACATTCACAAAAGGAAACCAGCAGTTCAGAAGCTTATTATTCATCTACAAGGACAACACTCAATCACATACAAAGATAAAGAAAATCTTGGACGTGTTCTCTCAAAATTTGGTATTGAGATGAATAAACGTTGTGAAGAAGCCCAAAAATGGACATATATCGAGTTCCCAGATCACTTTGTCTGGGACAAGGAAAGCAAAGTGTGGCATGAAAGGGTAAGAGGTCGCACGATTGGCAGAATAGTAAACATCCACCCAGCCGCTGGAGAGCTTTACTACCTTAGGATACTACTAAAGGTCGTACCAGGTCCGAAAAGCTATGATGATTTGCTTACCGTCGACGGAGAGAAAAAGGAAACTTTCAAAGCAGCATGTTATGCTAGAGGATTGTTAAACGATGACAAAGAGTGGCACCATGCAATGGATGAAGCAAATCAATGGGCGACCCCATATCAGCTATGCCATTTGTTTGTCCTTTTGCTAATATATTGTGAGGTTGCAAACCCATTACGTCTATGGGAACACTGCTGGAAATCATTATCAGAAGGAATACTAGCACAAAAACGCAGAGAGTTTGGGTTCCCACGGTTCAATTTAGAAGAGGACGACTTAAAGCAGTATACGCTACTCGAGGTTGAATCAATTTTGCATCACCATGAAAGGTCACTAACGGAGTTCGACGATATGCCTAAGCCTGATTTAAACCTTCTTAAGGATGTTAAGAACAGCTTATGGAAACAAGAACTGCAGTACAATGTCAAACAAGAGACAGAAGATCATGCAAAATTGTTTAGTACTCTCAATGCTGAGCAAAAAAAAGTTTATGATGCTGTGATGGAATCAGTAAACCAAAAAATGGGAAAACTCTTCTTTCTTTACGGTCCAGGTGGAACAGGAAAAACTTATGTCTACAATACAATCATCTCCAAGTTACGATCAACTGAAAGAGTTGTACTACCAGTAGCTTCATCTGGTATAGCAGCCTTGCTTCTACCAGGTGGGAGGACAGCACATTCAAGGTTCAAAATACCACTACATGTCACTAAAGATTCGATTTGTGAAATCAAACGTGGGACAATGCTATCAGAACTACTTATCAAAACAGATCTAATCATCTGGGATGAAGCACCAATGTCACATAGACACACTTTTGAGGCGCTCGACAGAACACTAAAAGACTTGCTATCCGAGAAAGATCCCTCCGCTAGCGAAAAACCATTTGGTGGAAAAACTGTCCTTCTAGGAGGAGATTTCAGACAAATACTACCAGTTATACCACATGGTTTAAGAGCTGACACGGTACAAGCATCTGTAAGCAAGTCATCGTTGTGGGATTCATGCAATGTGTTTGTCTTAGAAAAAAACATGAGGCTTCAACAATCAGAAGCCAGCTTTGCTGCGTGGGTACTAAGCGTTGGGAACGGTACTGCAAAGACATGTGAAAAGATAACTACAACTAATGAAGATGATGGTCAAGTCGTGGTTATTGATAACCGCTTCCTTATGAAGCATAATGGAAATCCACTGAAACAGATTGCAAAGTCCACTTTTGCACTAAATAATGAGCCTCAACCCAACTTCAACAACCTAACAGAAACAGCTATCCTAACTCCAAAGAATGAAACAGTGGATGAGATTAATGCATACATATTATCTCAAGTGCAAGGACATGTAAAAGAATATCTCAGCTCAGATAGCATAGGAAAAGCAGATACGAAAGGGCGAGATTATGCAGCACTTTACCCTCCTGAGTATTTGAACTCCTTAGACTTCCCAGGACTGCCAAAACATAAGCTAAGCCTGAAGATAGGCGTTCCAATTATGCTTCTCAGAAATATCAATCAAAAAGAAGGATTATGTAATGGTACAAGGCTAATTGTCACTCAAATGGGTGAACGAGTGATTGAGGGACAAATACTCACAGGCACACATGCTGGTAAGAAGGTTCTACTCCCTAGGATTATTCTATCACCGCCAGAATCAGATCACCCTTTTACTCTACGAAGACGACAATTTCCGATAAGAGTGTGTTACGCCATGACACTTAATAAAAGTCAGGGGCAAAGTCTTAAATCGGTTGTCTTATACCTACCTAAACCGGTGTTTAGCCACGGCCAACTATATGTCGCTCTATCAAGGGTTACCTCTCCTGAAGGCTTAAAGATTCTGCAAGACGCTGACGAACAAGAAATTGGGGTGAAAAATATAGTCTATAAAGAAATCTACAGCAACCTCCCAAAATAGCAAGGTAAATAGTATGAATGAAATTCTCCATACAACTTATATATTAAACTAATAAACCTTTTCTAACATACAGATTATCTTTACAAGCCACAAAGGAAGAATGGCACGAACTCAGTTTATCAAATAGTAAGTAATATATATTACACAAATATTACATAACATATGGTACGTACAAACCAATTAAAATTATATTGACAATGAAAAGCTAATATTAATATTCAATTATGCAGAGTGGAATTGCCAAACAGTTTATAACAAGTCCAATGGTAAATTGAAGACAGCAACTATCATGGTCAAGAGGAAGGCCAAGTGAAATTAAATTTATGTCTTCTTAAATATTCTCTTAGACATTGACTAATTCCAGACATTTTTTAAGGGCGTAGAATTGCAAACATAGAATACGTTGTTCTTCTCCAGCTTTTATCAGCACCCTTTTTATCCAGCATTTATCTCCTTCAATTTCTATCTTATTTTTCAACCTGGTAGAAATACACCTCCTTGAGCTTCAACTAATAATTGAGTAAATAGACTCGTCATCAAATTTAAGCTACTGGCCACTACGAATTATTACAATAAGTGCGACAAGTACTTTAAATCTTAACAAAAAAAAAACCTTACAAATCAAACAGATGGAATGATACACAACAGAAATGACTGACAACTCAAACAAATGGAATGATGGATAAGATGATTATGTCCAAATGGACCTCTAACTACTAAAGACGACCCCAAACAAAATAACAAACCTATCACTCTATTTTAATTTCTTACAGAGATTAGAATAACATAACATAGCTTACAGAAAATCAACAAAACATTAATAAATATATATTACGAAAGGTAAACCAATTTCAAAATATCTCGATTAAATCAGCCAGACGAATAAATTTAAAAAAAAAACATAAACAAAGGAAAATAGATAAACAAATAATAAACATTGCCACAAAGAATTAAAAGTTTAAATAAAATAACAACTACATATTAGATGAAATAAATCAACACAACAAATGCTGGCAAAAAAAAAATCAAAACAACAAATAAAAATGAGGCGCCAATAATTAATCACATACAAAATAAATTTCTCCAAGTGCAAAGAAAGAAATATTTTTTAAAAAAATGATAATAAATGCAAAAAAAAATAGTCTGCTAAAAAAAGGGATGAAAAGAAGAAATAAGGAAAGCTCAAACATGCTTACAATCAATTCAAATTAACAAAAATAAAACACTCCACTATAACCGAGAAGGGATAATAAAGAAAATGAAGCAAAATTGGCGAATATCTCTCCATAAAATAAGGGATTTAAATTAGAGAGAACGATCCAATAAACAATTACCATATACAACTACTTTACAATCCACTAAATCAATTATACGACTTATTATACGGTCCGCCGAAAATTAATCCATCAAGAAGATAACACATTTATAACCCACCAAAGCCACGTATAAACAACGCTAACCAAAAACATACACCAACCAATATTCAACATAAAATTTTATTTTAAAAAAAAACAATCAAACCTCAAAGAAAAGAAACATCAATGGACGTTGCAACAGAGTACGAAGAAGACACACAAAAAGGTAAAAAAAACAAAATTTATTGCTAATTCATATACAACACAATTGACACAACAAACATTCGTTTCAGGAATGCTGACAAGATATACAACCACACAACACTCTGATTTAACAAAAATAAGAGCAGGCTGTACAAACATGGCGATCATCATTCGTATCAATCGCATGTGGGAAATACACAACAATACAAACAAAGAAGAAAAAATCAACACGGTTTTCCTCTTCTTGGACGCAAAAGTAAAAACATCAACCTACTAAATACAATAAACTCATGTATCTTTTACTAATCAAAATATAAATGAAACAGGGAGAAATGATCGAGAGTACAATGCACTATTCTCTAGCAGCGCAACATAAAGAGAAATTGAAAGAGGGACAAGTATGTGAAATCTCAGATTTCATAGTCCGTCCAAATAACAAGAAGTTTAAACTCACACCACATCAGTATGTAATTCGAATGACAAGCAAAACTACAATTGTCGCATTGACGGAAAATTACCCAGAAATACCTATTACAAAGTTCTGGGTAAAAAACTATAAACACCTACAACGTCTAGGAGGACATCATGCAGAGCTGCCAGGTATGTCTTTGTTATATATATGTTCTACTATATATATAAACAACTTAAACTAATAAAGTTTTTTTAAAGATGTGATTGGCAAAATACACATCATACAAGGTATAAATACCAAAAACCCACACTCAGAAGCAAAAATAATAGTAGGGCTGCTCATGAACAGGTAAACCCATCAAAACAAGACTTGCAAAAATATTATAGAATGGAGTCATAAACTAAACAAATACTTGCAGGGACACAATCACCAAGCTATTAATATGGGATGAACAGGCAGAAAATTTTCAACAACACATGTGCATCAAAAACAGGAAACACTCAACTGTGCTCATCATAAGCATTAACCCAAAAATATACAAAGGTACGTAAACAATAAACTATTAAAAAATATGTATGTAAACCATTTAAAATTTTTTAAAAAAAATCCACTTAATGCAGGAAAACTGCAGCTTCATTCAACTCAAGCAACAAGATTTTACTTCGATGAAGCTGTACCAACTTTGCGAAGAAATGGTAAAAGGAAAAAGTATCATCATGCCACATACGATGTAACTGGATGTCCTTATTAGAAGAGAAAGATACCATACAACGAATGTATTCAAATAATTTCCTACCATATGAAATTTAAATTTAAACACAAGGTCTTCAATAAACTACTGTATGCTTCGTCTTATGAAAAAATTGAAAAAAAAAAATGAGAATCATATGAAAAATTAATAGGATATTTGTTCAGTGAATGTAAAATTAATAGGATATTTCAAATAATAATTTATGAAAAATTATTAAGATACCTCAGGATCCTGTAAAGAGTTAAATGGGCTTTGTTTGCACTGACAGCACAAAGAACTCCGATCAAGCATTAGAAATTAATATTGGAAAATAAAATACAATAGTTACGTAGCCCAACAGAAAAATGGAGGTTTGCGGAAAGGCAAATTTAATTCGGCCCACTCGACCCATGACCTTCGAGCCTCCAGAGCTTACAAATATTTAAGCATAACTGTTCAAACTTAATTTCCAACATCAGACAAAGAAATAAATAATACTTAATTATTCTAAAACTGATCCACGGTTAAAAATGTGAATTTCAAACGACAAACAAAACCTACTACATGCAGCAAATAAAAAAATTAAAACATAATAGAACAACACAAATAAAAAGGTCACTTACCATTCTCTAAGTACACTTAATGATTCCAAAACTGTTACATGAATGCATTCACTACAAATAATTAAAAGCCAGTACATCTACAGCCTCCTACGATAATTTATAAACTCAAACAAAACAAAAAACAGCTTCACACCATTACACTTAACAAAAATGGGAAGCAATACAGAAATAACCCACTCATTCTCTTATCAAACTCGCCCATCTTCTACAACTACAACCACAAACATAAACCTTACAATCAAAGAGACATCCAAATGCAAATGCCATGCATAACCAACAACGATGGCCAGCTCACACCAACAATCATGAGAAACATTGAATTCCTACTAACATACCATCACATAGCCGAAGACGATGCGACCAGAGTCACACAAACGTTTAGCCAGTTCGTTTTTTCAGTGATGACAACAATGGAAAATACAAGAGGTATAGACATGGATATCTATTTCACAGTTATACATTTTAACTCGCAGGCAACAAACAGGATTGACGTAGACTTACACATCGCCGAACTTGAGATGTCAACAAGGATGCCAACAGAAGAAGAGAAAAACGATGACTGTCCGATCTGCTTGGAAACGTTCATTGGAAGACAAGATGTGAACTCACTACCATGTAGCCATATTTATCATCATCAATGTATTGTACAATGGCTATTAACAATCCCAAAATGTCCACTATGTAGACATACATTGTATTAATAAAACAAAATTCACAGCAGCCTTAACTCTAAAAATCAAACAAAATAAACAAAAAAGATTAAAAGTAAATATAGTAAAATAATCAAATTAGTATTAATAAAATTAAAATAAATTAAAATAAAAAATAAAAAATGTAAAAATCAGAAAACCACTAAAATGTAAATTTTCATTGCAAAACATCCTTATTTATTTGTTTTATATTAACTGTTGTATGAAAAACAAAAGAAAAATATAATAATAATTTACGTACAATTCTTCTTACAAATAATAGTTAATAGTAAAATATACTCTCACTGTTTCACTATGATAGATGTTTTACTGTTAAAATTTCTTTAATAATGTATTAGCAACTATATTATTTGATAATATTTGTTATTGGTTTAATATTATTTAATTATAACATTAAATGATATTTTCCTATTAAAACATATATTTAAAATCTTGTGCTTTTGGTAATACATCAAACAAATTAACCAGAAGAAATTCCATGTCACTACATATTGAAATCTCAGGTAGAAGTACTATGTTATTAAAAATAGAAATAGATTTTTAGAACAAAACCGCGCGTAGCGCGGACAATCCCTAGTATCTACTATAATAAAAGGAGAAGTTTGAGGCTCCTCAGTCTACGTCCACGTCAGATTAAAAAAAAACTCATGAGAAGTTGCCATGTCATCAAATTTAGGTTCAATTTGTTCGTGGTGGATGACTTTATCTTAAAGATTTCTGCTTTCCACAAGCTCTGCTACATCAGTGCTGTTTTCTTCAGACTTCTTCTGACGATAAAAATTCCTCTTACTCTTAAATACTTCAATTCCCTTTCCTCTTCGTCTTCCAGATTTGCTTCATCTCCTTCACGTTTCCGTACTCTTCTTTCTCCCAATATGAAAACGAAAAATCTTATTTTGCAAATCTAAAAGTGCAATTGAGGCAGAGAGATTGAACGAGCATAAACGACGACTAAGGGAGGGGTCTATCGGAATCATCACGATGAAGAAGAAGAAGACGAGAATCTTCGTACAGTCTGTCTGTTCTTACACTAATCCTTTTGATCTCTTCAGCGAAGGTGATGAAGATCTTCACTCCGAAAAGGTCAGTATATTAGATTTTAAGTGATTAGATTGTCTGGTCGATTGTACTGTCTGGAATTGTGCTTATTAGTATATGTGTTGATAAATGCAGTAGTAGAAGTTGAAAAGGGTTTAAGTGATTCAAACTGCATTCAAATTGAATTGTGTATTTGGATTTGATAAAGTGCTGCTTCGTGGAGTTTAATCAGCTGCTTATTCAACCTCATGTAGCGTGATGTATGTGGTTCAAACATTTCATTACCTATTGACTCACTCATCCTATAGTCTATTTAGATACAGTGAAGTACACAACGTATCTTAATAATTTCACACCGGATTTTAAAATTTAAGTTTACAACTCAATGAACTTCCTCTTACCTTTAAAGTTTTACAGCATATCCGACCCTGAGATAGGAATGTCCTGTTGAAGCGACGCTCTTACTTGAGACACAGGCGATTATGTTACAACTACAAATGAAAATAACCAAAGAGGTTAGAGTCTGTAATTCCAGTAGCTTTATTGACGCTGCTTTCGTTTGCAACATTCACTACGTTGTGCGTCACTTATCATGCTTGAGCCTTGATGTTTGTTTGGATTGGAGAAATGCAAATTCGCTGATTCTGTTCTACTTTTCTGATTTATTCTATTTGATTTTATATTGTTTCATTTTCTCAGTCTGACCAAGGAATCAAATCACAGTTCCTTTTTCATTTTTTGCTTTCTTCCATGTATAATCAAACTCGGTTGTGGAATGTGCGCATATAGGCTGTCATGCCTCATCATCAAACTGCCAGGGAAATTTTCGCGTGTTGTTACATTCAGTTTTACGAGGATGAATATACTTCAGCTTCTTTATTCTAGAATTGATGGATCCGGTTGATGAAATGATCATTTTTTTTCCAGTTCATAGTCACTGGTTACTCTTTGACGAATCTCAGTTTGAATACTCATACTAATAATGGTGTGGTGTACAAGGCATGAGACAAGGTGACCAATGGGACAACAGCTTTGACCAAACTCCGGTTCGAGTAGGAGGATGAAGGTGTACTTATCACAGTAACTGAAGAAATCTCCATCTTGAAAGAAATGCAGCAGAACAACATTTTCAAGTATGAAGTTAATACCATTGTTGAAAACTAATGCAGCATGAATCTGGTGAACAATGCTGGTGAAAAATTTTGGTTGACGATTTGGAGGTTGCAGGATGTAGTGCCCAGCGAGAAGCGTTTATATTTGGTTTTCGAGTATCTGGACTTGGATCTCAAAAAGCACATGGACTCCTGTCCTGAATTCTCGAAGGATCTACATATGATCAAAGTGAGTGCTAAGAAACTTTGGGCATCGTTTTAATTATGTGCTTAATGCATTTTCATGTGAAGGAACTTCTTAAATAAACAAACCAGATACTCCTAAAAATAATTTAATGTTAAGCTGTTTGGTTTGTCATGAACTCATGATGCCATAAACTTCCTTTTGGTAATTATGACACATCTATTTGTTTAGTTTCGCTGAATATTATTAATTTCTAAGCGATGTAATATCATCTTGATGTGTTTTAGTACTTGATACAGGCTGATCAGAGCTGTTCATTTACTGTTGCAGACATATCTTTACCAGAATCCCGTGGAATTACGTATTGCCACTGTCACATGGTTCTTCATCATGATCTAAAGTCACAAATTTTGTTGACTGATCGCCACACGAACTCACTAATACTTGTAGATTTTGGACTGCCCAGAGCATTCGGTATCCATGTCAGGACATTTACTTATGAGGTAACAAACATTTTACTTTCTTGGTCTTATGTTTCTGTAGTGAATCTTATGACATGGCTTCATCTCTTCTTGGTTGTAGGTAGTTTAGATGTGTTACGATGTTTCTGGTTTTTGATGTCTGGACCTTATCCATTACACTTTTGTAACACTTGGGTTTTACTGCAGGAGATAGGATTAGATGATGAGGCTATAGTTGAGAAGTAGGATGAAGACGCTGATAATGTAGAACCGGTTTCAAAGAATAAGTCCAAGAAAATGAAAAAGAAGAAAAGCAAAGAAAGTTATTATAATGTGGCAAAAGCTCAAATCACTTTGGATGAAACTTTAGAAGCACTTTCTGTCGATGCTAACTCTAAGCAAGAAATGTTTGAGGAAACAAAAGCACATTCTGATTCTGCGAAATAGATCCCAAGTATTGAAATATTCAAAACGAGTTGAGGAGAATGTATGGTTCAAAGGTCGTTACATTTGTTAGGTACCTTCATAAGGCACATACAAGAATAAACATTTGTTCTCCTTTTTGGATTTGTGAGGCGTTCCCAAGGATGACAACTTTAAGAGTTTGTTTTATAGTTAGCTCATTGTTCATCTTGGGCATTTTAAATCAGAAGAAGAATGATCACTGATCTTCAGTTCATTCAGCGGCTTGGACAAAGTAACTATATAAAGCCGTTAAGGGCACCATTGCATTTCTACTCTGCTACATTTAGAATATGTAGGTGAATCCATTTTCTTTATTTAAGAATTAGAAACATGACAGATGTGGGTACAACAGTCTTCATGTTTCATCACAATATTTGACCTAAAAAACTGCCTCATCTTTCGCATGAGTACATTACGTCTCTCGAGGAAACAAATCAATGGATAGCATACTGAAGTTGCAGGTCTTAAAAGAATTATCAGAAGAGTGGAGCTTAACTGATTAAGCTTTTATAGGAACGCATGCTAGAATGTATCTCCGATATTTAAAAGAAACCTCCAACTATAAATGATAGCATGTAAGATCAAAAACATAGAATCATCTTAAACATAAGCATAAAGACAGAAATATGGCATGGTTAAGACTTAAAAGTGTCATCTTAAACATAAGCATAAAGACATAAATATATTATTAGGCCTCAATACCAAATATTAGAGTTAAAATCGACATTTTGTTTTGGTTATCTAATTAGTTATCACAAATTTTAATTTTTAAAACATTCTAAGAATACTACTGCTGTCCCAAACAACTTCTCAGTGCAACTAATAATTAAGAGAGTGACAAAACCAGAAGTTCGTCACTTAATCAAAATTGTTTTTTTTTTTTTAAAGAACATGATAAATTATATTGTCTTAAATCATGAACTACTATATCAAAACTTCTGGAAATGTACAAAACTTATACAATGTTTATAGTTTAATTTCTAGAATTATTTAAATATAAAGAATTGTTTTTATGAATTCCAGCTCAATTGATAAAAAAAAAAGTCGGGCTAAAATACTTTGATTTCTTACATTTTCACAAATATAATTTCTCTTTTAAATAATTAGAATCACATATAATTCCAAAGATAGTATAAAATACTCTCTCCATTTTCAAATTGTAAGATATTTTACAAAAGGCACAAGAATAAATAAATCTACATTTTTTTAAAAAAAACATCATTTAATGTTATAATTACGTACAATTCAACCAATTATAAAAATAATCAAATAAGATAAATAGTTAAACATTATTTAATAATTTTTTAAAAAGATTGAAATATGAGAACATCTAATATTTTGAAATAACCTAAAACATATTTCATATTCAAACAAAAGAAGTATTACGATGCGCGGAACAACACTAGCCAAATGTTATTATATGCATTATTTCTTACATTATAGTCAAATATTTTTTTGAGGAATAACATCAAGAGTTAGTGAGTTACAAAGCATATTGAGGTTACTGTCTCTCACTTATTTTTGTTTTCTTCAAGTAACTAACATACTAAAGCTAAAGTTAGGGAAACAATTACAAAATCTCGCAAATCTCACATTCCCCATAATTGGCCAAAATAATACCCTAAATTATCACTCACCAAATAGTTTATTAAGTTTGAATTGATCAAGCCATTTTAGATCCACGAAAGTGAACATCAAGAATTTTATTTAGTTACACTGTTCTTTTCATCGAATTTCAAACATAAATCTCCAAAATCATTTCGCAAAACCAAAATTCTCAAATTTTTTTCCAATCTGATTCAAAACTAATCTTCAAATTTCAATTAGGTATCTTATGATTTCGAATCAAGCTACCCAGTAGCCGGCTATCCAAGTTTAGAGGCAAACTTAGAAGTTTCTTTTACTTTTTTTTCCTCACAAAAAATTCTTAAGATTTGATGATACAGTATTAGAGATCAAATAGAAAAATCATTTTAAGCATATGCGTATATAATTTAATGAAACGGTTAAGAAGCGAAGACTGTTCAATCTATTTAGAAACAAAGACTGTCCAATATGTTTGCAAACGTTTAGTGGAAGGAAAAATGTCAACTCTCTACCATGCAACCATATTTTTCATTATGAATGTATTGTACAATGGATAATAACAATCCAAATTGTCTAATATATGCACACATTATTTTAATTAAAAAAATCCTCTGCAGCCTATAATTACACTAATTTTTTTTTTAAAATATGAGAAAAGAATACCAACATCTCAATATTACAAAATATAATAACTTAAGCAAATAATCAAAGAAAATACCGCGCGTAACGCGGACAATCCACTAGTTTGGTTCAAATCAGTAAATTCCGTTAAATCAGCAGGCTCATGTAATAGACTTATGTTTTCCTCCATTATAACCGTTCGGTTTTAAACCGAACCGACGCAAATAATGGATCTTTGAAACCGAAAGTTGCCGATCGGTCCTACGCTTATAACCACAAACCAAAAATTCAAACCTCAGATTTGGTTCAGTCTGGAAAATTTGGTCCACAGACCTAATAATATGTTAATGTGCACGTTTATGTACTTTGCTTATCTTAGATTTCTTACAGTTAACTTTAATCGTTTGATTTCGTGATAGATTTTCATTTTTTTCTTCTATGCTTTTTCTCTCTCCTGGGATTGATATCTTACATACGAGATAATTTGCAAAACAGGGCACTTTCATAGATATATTAGGTGAATATCTGCGCTACGCGCATAATTTTTTATAAGAATGTAATGTTTGATTTAAATTTTTATTTCATTAGTACAATGTTACAATTATTGTGCTTGGTGTTTTTTTTTGTTAGCCAAGATACATAAGCATTATTGTATGCAATTAAAATAATTTTCACAATTTTCACAGGGAACAATCTAAAGCATTGCATGAGATTGACATAAAAGAACTATTATCTCTAGATTATGAATAGTTTAGAAAATGTCAAAATAATAATGCAAATACAACTTAACATTGAAGAGGCTTATGAACACTCAAATATATAAATCAATTATGTGTACTTAGTATATATTAAAAAACCAAAACCTAAGAGAAACAAAATTTGGAATATTATCTTATCGTGATCTTATCCAGACCCTAAACTTACACTTATCTCAAATACAATAACAACTATTAGACCACAAATAAACACTTCTAACTCTGTTTCACACTAACAGTTCTCAAACTCAGTCACTATAAAAGTGAAGCTAGTCTTAACATGTATCCAATACGACTTAAGAAAGAAAACACCTATCATTGTTGACATGTTATAAACGATTAACAAAATAGCCTTAAAACAACTGAAATTTGTCTGCATCACCCAGTAATCTATTCAAAATGTATGATGAGTTGTGCCTATCAAAATTAGGAGATAAAACTGGAAATCAGACATAGAAAGGAGAACACCACCTCAAGAACCTCATCAAGAAAAGCTTCATTAGATCTATGATATGCACCAGTAGCCACCCTCATATTAATAAAACATGACAATTCTTCATACTGATAATGGATAAACCTATATATGACATATTTCTCGTTCCATTATAAGACTTATGCACTAAAGCTCCACCTCGAACATTCGCTAGCTATAGCTAGCTTGACTAAATTCATGCAAATAAAAGCGAAAAAGGACAAGATAAACATATCACTCGACGATGCTTCAATAACTGAAACTAACTTTTTGATTCCAACATTCAGTAATATAGAAGGAAGATAAAAATAAAAATTAATTATTTAGAAAACTAACGGAACATAGATGGGATCAGCTTCCATCATATCCACTCCTGTTAGCATACCAAAGGCTATGTAATTTCATAATATGTAATCAGCTCAGATTTCAAAAAAACCTACATCCAACTAAAGAAAATACAGAAAACAAAACACGACACAGAAGAAAACCTCAAGAAAGTTATTCCCATCTCCTGGGCAATATTGCACTAAATGTATCTTTATAAGTGTGCAGGTCGTTATCGTTTCTTTATAAATTTATTTTATGAGAAATTACAAATTTGATTTTTCAACAATATTTAGGACAAAGAAGAAGTTGAGACACTGAACCTTATCATGACGAACAACAATGATTTCCAATTCAGTTTTGGTTTAAGAAAATGATTATAACATTCAACTTGAGGAAATTCTTTAGTGAAATCAACATATATTTTCCAAAAATATGATATCATCCTTCAGATTTATAAAACCACATTAAATTTCTATTATAAGTCAAGTATTGCAATTGCAATTGAAAGATTAATCTATCCAAATTAGTTACAAAATGTTTATAAAACAATATGGTTCAGAATGCAGGTCATTACCAGTTTCGAACTTCTATGATTACAAATTAAGCCTGCGTTCCCAGTTTACAAAACCAATTTGAACCAACCTTAAGAACAGAAACAAAAGGGCTTACACGTAAAACACCGATCACAATTACCTCACCATAAGGTAGGACTCCGCTTAGCAATATACCCTATATAACTGCAGTAGTCCATACATCAGCTTCATGTCCATCACATAATATTAATTCCTAACAACATCAGGGATATTTGTCCGGAAATTCACAAGTATATCAAACTAAATTAAACCAAGGCATGTAGTGTTAATTAAGCAAATCGGAAGTAGAGAAGCATTTGAGAGAAGTTGAAACAAGCGAGAGGGAGAACATACGTCAAACGCTTTTGTTTGATGGGAAAACGTTAACCTCCATGAACTCTAAATATACATAAGTAAGAAGTTAAAGTTGCAAGGAAGATAGGGACTGACAGGTTGAATTCTAAAGTGACATCGACGTGCATACAAACCAAACCTTCGCTGCTTTGTTTTCTCGACCAAAGACATTCAATTCTGGTCTGCTTCCTTCAGCTTATGCTTAGACGGCCACTTCCAGGTCGATGTGTAACCATATTGGACCTGCGAAGGAGAAGCTTCGTGTGGACCTAGGTAGATGTTTTCTTAACCTGTAATCTACAAAACATAGAGCGAGAGTTTTTTTTTAATACCATTGGAAAAACAACTCCTCCATATAAGTAATCAATCGCTGACTTAAATTAAACAAAGGAATGATTCCTTATCTTCTGGGACAACAAAATCATCCAATTTTACGGGCCCTGGAGATTGCAGATTGGAGATTTGACGATCACCTTGGGCATGTTTTTTTTAGA